AAATCCTTTTGAATGTACGTAGTCCAATCCATTAATTACATCTCTTAAAATAATAGCAATAGCCGTTTCAGGAAAACCAGAATTGTAAAAATTTAGAACATCTCTACATGAACCATATATCATCAAAGGGGCAACGATGTATAGATTTAAGTCATTTACAAATGATATTTCATATGATAGTATATTTGGATGCTGTAATTGACGAGTAATATATATCTCTTGCTGTATAAGATTCACTTCTTCTATTAAATCTAATTGTATCTTCTTAATTGCCACTTTTCTGTGGGTGGGTCTGTGATATGCAACATACACACTTCCTAAGCCTCCACAACAAACTGTTAACTCATGTTTCAAATCATACTCCTGTAATTGATATCCAAACATTGTAACTCATTAAAACCAAGTGATTTCTGATCACTCACCAATTGCACTTCCAGAAATAAACTTGTAATAAATAGTATAAAATATATGTGATAAAATCCTACATTATAATTTGGTGTGCTGTTCAAAGCGTTTGTAAAATACAGATAATATTATTGATATTTGTACATCGTTACTGCATCCGAGAATATTTAGAATTCTATTTCAAAAGACATTTCGACACCAAACGACGCATTGTCTATACATGGCGTATAAACACATGATTTTGAATTTCTATTTATTTTTTGACAGCGGCACACGTCACCCCTACCACGCCATTGTTACCTGTGGCGCCATCACCAACGAATACAACTACAACAACACAACAACCCTAGACAATATTAGAATACCCCGTGTTCATATAGACGCTTCTCTCGCCCGATTTTTACGTTCAGAAGGAATACTTAAAGGGTCCTCCGCTCGACGTGGTGGCGCTGCTTTTAGCATTCAAATTAATGGCGCAAAATTTGAAATAAAAATTAATGATTTTAGGTGCACGGGTATTTGAAACTAAATTTGGTATTACAATCCTATTATGTTTTGTAATAATACAATAATAACAAAAATATACTAGATAATATTATATATAATAAATATACAATCAAATCGAAATATAAATCAACAAATACACTGGAATACACCGGTTTATATATAATAGATATCACATCTAATCTACTGGAATAACGTCTACACTTTTTTCTACTTATTAATATAAATATTTATTGAAATTTAGTGAATAATGCATATAGTGTTAGTTCATTACATCGTCTGTCATTCTTAACTCTCGTTAACTAATAATCATCCCGTGCGAAATTTGACATTCTTAAGCAATTCATTTTCTCCCAAGTATATTCAGATCCGTGTGAAGTGGTAATCCAATTTTAAACAGCTGGAACAGCTTTTTATTTGTGTATTATGTCTTTCTTGTAGAAGCGCATACTGATTTCTTACACAATTTCCTGACCTCTTTCCTTAAAGTGTATTATGATTAGACTAATATGTCAATGCACTACGTAGTAATGTAGTAATTATGTCCTCCATATGAGTTTGAAGCTGTTCTATTCATATTGTCAAAGGGCTAAGCATTTGAGAGCAATTCCTTATGAAATCTTTATTAACAAATATACAACCACAAACGAATAAGAATCGCCATTTTGTAAACTTACACAAAAATAACACTGACGTTTCTAGTAACCAACATAAAACATTTGAAAATACTTTTTCATCGGCTCACTAGCGCCAAATCTGCGACTACAAATGGACCCCTAAGTATTCCTTCTGAACGAGGATTTTGTTCTAAGTGAAAAGGCCCTGACAACAACTTTCATTGACAACGTGCTAGTAGATGTCAAATTTTCCAGTAGGGATTATAATTTAAATTTAAACTAGCTGTAAGTGGAATTATGTCTTAAGGCAATTAGGGCATCGTGCCTTAAGGCAAATTGCTGGAACTTTCCGTACCAAAAATTATTATTTTTTTTAAAAACGATTAACATTTTTGAAAAAAAAAAATACTTCGAAAAAATAAGATTTTTGAGAAACTATAAATTTGACAAAAAATTACTTTTTTTTGAAAAAAAAATTGAAAAAAAAAAATTTAAATTTGTTTTTTTTTAAATCTTTTTTTTTGAAAAAAAAAATGTTTTCTTTATTTTGACATATGTTGGAAGATCTGAACTTTTTTTCAAAGCAATCGTACTGCTTTAAATGCATAGAGACAAAATATAAAGCGCGTAAGCGCCGCGTCGCTGTCTAACGGGTAAACATTGGTACGGAACCCATAGGAATGTAAACAAAATTTATACTTATTGTTAAAATCTCTATAAAATATCTGACAATTTGATGTGCATATGTCTAATGATCATTTTTGACCGCCAAATGGCATAATGATCATTTTTTACCTGCCCTTATAAAAATTTGATCAAATCTTCATCTTGTCAATACAAGTAAAATGTTTTTTGAATTATTAAAATAGGACGCTCCGTTCTATTAAAAACTGAGGTACCGTTTTTGGCACTTTTTGCCCCATATCTTCGGAACGGCTAGACCTACCTCCGCCAAAAACTAATCAGCACGTCTCCTTATCAATACGGATCGAATGTTTTTTAAATTATTCAAATTGCTTCATCCGTGTTCCCGAAATCGTCGACGAAAATTTGTATCCGCACACACATACATACTACGCACACACACCACACACACACATACATCCATTTTTTCTAAGGTATGCCAAAATATTCAGAACCCTCTGAAACGTAAAGATATATAAAAATTTGCATTTTCGATTTTTTTGCGATTACTATAACTTACCCTACGGGAAGTTAAAACTTTCTTTGTCGAACAGAAGCTCGAATTTCAATTCTCTTAAAAAAAGAAAATATTTAAATCGACCGAATTCATTGTACTTGAACTAGTTGTAAGTTGCACTCTTAAGGCATGTTGCTTTACTTCCCGATACGTGTAAATAACCGCCATAATTAATAATAATTTGGAATTTGAATTTAGATACATTTTTCAACCGTTTATTTTAAAAATAGAGTTTTCGCTTTCACTAAAAACCAATCAATACAATGTTCTGTTAATGTCCTGAATAATATTTATAATTGTATAAATTGAATTCATTTATTTAACACATTTTAATTCACTTCCTATTTGAAAAATCTATTTTATTTAAATGCGGACGTCAACGTTAATGGTTAGTACAATACGCGCGTCTCATTATTCCAACTCTTGATAAATTTTTACTAGTGGGGTGCATGGAATCGTGCCTTAAGGCAAATTGCTGGAACTTCCCGTACCGTAATTGAGAAACTTGGTACGGAACCCAAAAAAAATTACACAAAATGTGTTCACATTATTAAAATCTCTATAAAATATCCGATAATTTGATGTACATACGTATATCCAATAAACATTTTTGTCCGCCAAATGATATTTTTTTAATTTATTTTTATTGAGAGTCTATAACTGCTGGACCTGCCTTCCCAAAAATTTAATCAGTTCTTCATCTTGTTAATACAAGTAAAATGTTTTTTGAATTATTCAAATCGGACGCTCCGTTCTCTTGACTGAGTTACCGTTTTTGGCACTTTTTGCCCCATATCTTCGGAACGGCTAGACCTGCCTTTGACAAAAACTAATCAGCACGTCTCCTCATCAAGACAAATCGAATGTTTTTTGAATTATTCAATTTGCTTCATCCGTGTTCCCGAAATCGTCGACGAAAATTTGTATCCGAACACACACACACATACACACACATACATCCATTTTTTCTAAGGTATGCCAAAAAGTTCAGACCTACCTTTCATAAAGGTAGATCTAGCGGTTTCGGAGATCTAGTAAAAAAAAGTAAAAAAAATGCCATTTGGCGGTCAAAAATGATCATGGGACATATGCACATCAAATTATCAGATATTTTATAGAGATTTTAACAATAAGTATAAATTTTGTTTACATTCCTATGGGTTCCGTACCAGTGTTTATCTGTTAGACGGCGACGCGGCGCTTACGCGCTTCTATATTTGTCTCCATGCAGTTAAAGCAGTACGATTGCTTTTAAAAAAATCAAAATTTCCAAAATATTTCAAAATAAATTTTTCTTCAAAAAGTCTTTTATTTTAAAAAAAGTAAGTTTGTCAAAAATTTATAGTTTACCAAAAATCTAATTTTTTCAGAGTAAATTTTTTTCAAAAATGTAAATCTTTTTAAAAAAAATAATTTTTGCTTCCAGCAATTTGCTTTAAGGCACGATACCATGCGCCCCACTAGTTGTTATTTAGGTTTTTCATTACAATACACTGAAACTCTAATTGTTTGGCGAATATATGATTTGAGAAAGACCGTACCGGTAAATTATTGTTATTAATAGTTTATTTTTAAACCAATTGTTTCAAACAATTGTTATTGAAAAACAATTAATTGTCTTTCAATTCAAAAGCTTTTGTTTACTGACTGTAAAACGAGAACATTCAGCATATAAAGTGATTAGAAGAATTTTGTAAATATACATTGAACATTGTTTTATTATTTGTATTACACACTGCGTTTACACGATCTTTTGAAAAAAAAAAACAAGCATATTATTTTATAAATCATATATTTAAATATTTAAGTTAAATTCATACATAATAACTTATTAACGATAAGTTTGATAACAAATAACACATTACAGTTACAATTACAATTACAGTTTCCCGTATCGTACGGGTATCATCGTTACAATTACGCATTTAGTTAATTATTTGTTTATATATTGACTAGAGTGTATTGAAAGGAATACAAATTCTATTCTCACAGAGAATTATGTTTAACATGTATGAATGATATGGATTAAAAATACTTCTACTCAAAGTAGAACATATATAAAAAGCTCTTATAAAGAGCGTTTTTATAACCTAGTAGCGTACTATGCACATTTGCACTATACATAAATATATAATAAAATCTTATATAAATTTGTAAACAATAAAAATAAATTTCTCATATAAGTTATAAAATTATATAAGATCGATAGAATTATCGGTAAGCTTGAACAATGAATTCTTTGATTTCGCTTTTATTTTTAAAATTTTAATTTATTAGGCTTGTTTTCTAGGGCAAGTGCACTCACCGCCAATTCGTGCTTCGATCCATGGTAAATAGTTTGTAATTTTCGTGTAAATGCCCGGCAAATTCGGCCGAGCACATCCTCGACCCCATGACACAATACCTAAGAGTAAAAAGCACCTTGAATGGATATAATTAAAAACAAAATTTTGTATTTTGACAAAATTAACTTTTTTTATTTTTTTCTGTTATAATTAGTATGCTCGAATATAATCAAAGCGTAGAACTAGTGTGTATTTATCTTGGACAAGAGATCAAGAAGGTCCATCGTGTTTACTCTGCTCTATAAATAATTTAATGATATTTAATAAAAAGGGGGCAAAGAATGTAAACAATAATTTTAAAATATCTTCCCCAATTTTCAGAAGAAACAGAAACTTTAGCAAAACTGAAGTCATCATCAGTTACAAATGATTAGTTTGCCGAAAACGGGCAAGAAAAGTTTAATTTAATTTCAATTGTTTGTAAAATTTGTGAAGTTTGGAAAAAGTAACAGATAGATAGTTACGACGTATAAATATTTCTTACAATTATATGCATTACTTTATATTTTAAGACAAATCTGTGCCCTTCCTAAGTCCCTCCAAACAAAGCATTATACGGGGCTCCGCCAAGATGCTCGACGATTCTGAATGTATATCTCTTAACCGTTTATAAAATAGAAATAATTGTTCAGAAAAAAAAGTTATAAAAAATATTCAAGGTATGAATATATATATATATATATATATATATATATATATATATATATGCGTGTGTGTGTGTGTGTGTTTGTGTGTGTATTTTCAAACGCAGTTTTTGGTGCTGTTTGATTTTGAAAATATTTAGTTTTTAAGGTAAAAAGAAAATTCTTTCCATTTTAAAATAATCAAGTTAGTGTTCAATTCACAACGACAGAGATCTTTGTATCGAATCCTGTCATTGGCTTTAAGAATTTAAGAAAATATTTTAAAGAAATTTATTATTAATTTCTTTAAAATTTTAATTAATATTTTCAAAAAGAAAATAATTTAAGAAAATATATACATATAGTTAATTTGAAATAGAAATTGAAATTAAATAGAATTAATTGAATTTGTTAAGTACTATTTGAATAAAAATTAGGAGTAAGAATAGAAATTACACAACACAAATAGCTGAGTTGTAGTAGGAATAAGAAGAAAAATATTAAAACTGGCTGAATTCACAAAAAATGAAGAAATAAAATAGAAGAAAGAGTGGAAGCAGTTAGAATTAGAAATTTGAAATGAAAGAGCAAGAATTGAAGAGAGAATAAAGAAATCAAAATGAAAGAAAATTGAAGAGAGAGAATGAAGAAATCAAAATTGAAGAAAATAATTGAAGAAAAATGAGGATAGAGAATGAAGAGATCAAAATTGAAGAAAATTGAAGAAGAAAAAAAAATAGAATAGGATATATAAGATTGAATATGATATAAAAAATAATATAGAATGTAAATAAATGAAGAGTTGTAGGTGGCTAAACGCACAGAGTGAGCAAAGCCAAATAAATAAAAAAAAAAAAAATTGTTATCAAAAATAAAAAATAAAAAAACCCAAAAAATTAAATAAATGAATTGTAGAAGAAAAGGGAGGGTTTATATATATATATATATATATATATATATATAGGCCCACCTTTTCTATACAAAATATCAAGTAAATCATTTAATATAATAAAGCTTACCAATAATTTCAACACTGCCGGTGGGTCCAGTCATATGCATGGGGCCACCGCTGTCCCCTTGGCATGCATCTTTCTTTCCATCGTGGTATCCTGCACAAATCATATTTTCAGATATTCGTTTCTTGCCATATCCAGCATCAAGGCATTGTTCCCTGGACCATATAGGAACAGTAACACTCCTCAATGTATCGGCTAAAGAATCACGTTCATCTAAGCGGCCCCATCCTGCTACGACGCCGAGTACACCTTCGTAATCTCCATATCCTGATGTACAATATAAAATAAAAATAAAACGCAATAATAGATATCTAGATAATTTAAATTATACAAATTTGTATGATTCACAAAATTATAATGAAGTGGAGCGGTTTTATCAATTTAAGTTTTAAAAATTATTATTAACTGTATGAATCACCCGTAATTTTATAATATTAGTAGATTATTGATTTTACAGCTTTTGTTTAGAAAGGTTAATAAATTGACAAGTTGGTTGAAAATGATTTATAGATCAAGCTATGTGCAGGGCTTGATAAATAAAACAAATATTAAAGTATGGCGTCAATTTTGTAGGCAAGACAGATATTACAGCTGTTCTAAGAATGAGATTATATCGCCTGTGAAAAAGTAAAAAAATACAAACAGTCAATGAATGTATGTTAATTTTAATTACATGGAGTTCTTCAAACATAATTATTACAGGATGAGTGAATTTGCAAAAACAATATTTGTTTAGGCGTTGTTTAACATAGTCCACTGTGTGAACGAATATTATAGAATTTATTAATCAGCAATTACTTTATTTCTCTAATGAAGGTTTGTTTCTGAATGCGAATTACAATGACAAATTGATCATGTCATATTTCAAGTATGTCTTTGATTATATTATTGTTTGTAAATATTATACATATTTTTAATGCTATCTTATATAAATATTGATTCAGAATGACTTGAAACGTCGAGACAATATAAAATTAGCAAATCGGATCTTCGGGCGAAGACAAACTTCTCCTTCGGAAAAAGGGAGAAGAGGTGACTAAACTTCTAATTTCATTTTACTATTCACGAATTTATATTCAGTAATTTTATCCGTGTTATCATTATAAATATTTTTGGTTTTTTGATTACTACAAAACATTGAAATTCGAATTGTTTAAAGACTCAATTAAGACGGTAAATTGTTATTATTAACAGCTTATTTTTAAAACAATTGCATTTCAATTCAAAAGCTTTTGTTTACTGATTATGAGAGAACCAAAAACAACGATTCAACATGTAAATTTAAAGTAATTAATTAATTTTGTAAATATACATTGAACATTATTTGTTTTATTATTTGGATTACAACACAATGTGTTTACATAATCGTAATTTTTTTGAAAAAAAAAAAAACAACTGCAAGTAGAGCTTTTTCATCAATTTAATTTTATAAAGTCAATGACTGATTCAACAAAATATTTTATTCCAATTATTTCAACATGTTTCATCCGAATTAATTTATTTCATTTGTTGGCGGAGGAGAAAAAATATGAATCTTGTACTTAAATGTAATATGATTTATCTCGATATATTTGTTATAAGCTATATATATATATATATAAGCGCATTTATATAATGTGCATATATATGGTACAAATTTTACTTAAATTCGGTCAAAATAGGGAGTTATATTTTTTTATGCATATAGGTTACTAATTATTGCCAAAGAAAGTACGTACAAGTTGCTTATAAAACTTGATCGTTGATACTGATGATCTATTTTATATTTATGGTCTATTGATAATCTTCAGTCATGAAATAACAATTTTCAAAAATATATTTAAAATCCACTAGACGGTGTCATTTGGTTTATAATATAGTAGCATTATACCTGAATTTGTTAACATTTTCAATTAATATTATATGTTTATTTTAAATAGAGTTCGTGACAATTATGCACAAAAAACGAACTTGTTGGAATATACGACAAAAAATCTGCTGAATTCCTTAATACGTGTTTTTATTTCAATGAACGGATATTTGTACGGAAACCTTATTAGAAAGATTTATATTAACATTGTACTTGACAAAATGCGGCACTTTGATTGCGGCCCTCATAACTTTATCATTAAATCAAAGTGAAATTCAAATCGTATGAAAGTAAAAGCTTGAGAAGTTGCTTGGGATTTTAATGATGTTTACCCAATTAAGTATTTGCTGAATGAGTTTGTTATCAATAAATTCAATATTCAAATCAATATAACAGAAACACTATCTAAAACTAGGTGTAAGTGGCATTTTGTTTTAAGGTAAGTTGTATGAACTTTCCGATATGTGTAAATAATCTGTTTAATAAAAAGAAATTGATATGTAGCTATTTTATAAAAAACTAGTTGGTATTGGTATTTTGCCTTGAGGCAAGTTACATGAACTTCCCGATATGTATAAATAATCGACTTAATTAATAAAAAATAAATTAATTTATGAGTGATTAAAAGTATTCCAAGTGGACACGTGAACTCGGAGTATTTTCTAGAAGCAAATTTGCAAAAATCAATAATTTTTGTAATTGTTTCCGTAGGACTTTAACGGTTTAGTGTGTTCATTAAGACCAAGTACTCTATCGTTATACCAAGTAAAATCGTCTAATTTTAATTTTAACAAACGTCAAAAAAACTACTCATTTTCTCACACTTTGATAAATTTTTAAAATTAAATTACTTGTAAGGCCGTAATCTTTCAGTAAGTTCTATAAAACCATGATATATATCACTAAAAAAAGTTCGGCTAAATAAAAATCGGCTTAAATTTTTTTTCAACATTAATGACAAGAAAACGGCTCGGTAGATTTTTACCTAAAACTAATCAGTATCATTCCCAACTAATATCTTTCGGACAGTTTTTGATTTTTTAAAATCGATTCGGTAGTTTGAGCTTAAATGTGGACGCAAAGTTTAACACTTTTTTCAGATTACAAAGAAATAGTTTGGCAAATCGTCTCACAAAATTGACAAACGATAGCCCTCATTGAGATATGTACATCAAATGGCTTTTAAATTTCTGAAATCGGTTCAGGCGTTTTTAAGAAAACGTCGATCAAAGGTCTAATTTTAACAAATGCCAGAAAAACGATACTAATTTTTGCAAACTTTGAAGAATTTTTAAAATTAAACGACTTGTTGCAGGGCCGTAATATTTTAGTATGATCTACAAGACTATGGTATCTACCGTCAAAAAAAATCATAAAAATCGTCGAATTTTTTTTTTTAAACTTTATTACAAGAAAACGGCCCGGTCGATCTTTACCAAAAATTAATCAGCACGATCCGGCACGTGAACGAAAAATTTTTCACTTTTCTGCGATTTACAAAGAAGCGGCCAGGCCGGTCGTCGTACAAAACTCAGAAACGCTAGTCTTCATCGAGATACATCGAATGGCTTTTAAATTTTTGAAATCGGTAAAGCCGTTTTGGAGAAAACGTCAATTTACGGCAAAAAATCTGTTCACACACACACACACACACACACACATACTTTTTCCAAATTTGATCTCATTCGATTCAGAATAGCTTGAACCGTCGAGAAAACATAAAATTAGGAAGTTAATTGTAATTAAGGACTATAGAGGTTAATTTATTTATAAGGGTATAAAATTAATGGTGTATAAAATTAATAAGTGCTATATAAAAAGCAATAAAAATGAAAGCATAACAGAAGTAATATTTTACTATAGGTACTATTATCGGTAAATGAGTTGGCATATTCTAAACTTTATAACTGTTTATAGAGATATGATAATTTTCCCAAACATGCGGGTTTATTATTATAAATATACATATATTTCCTTGCATACTTGTATAGAACAATGGCGCCATGTAAAGTTGTGTTTTATATGATAAAAATTATGTTTGTCGATAATAGATGAGTAAATTTGGGAAAATTCTTACCAGTTTCCGGTAAACAGACTGCACTGATCTTCGGGCTGAATTCAACCGGATTCTTTAGTTCAAGAACTGCGATGTCATTATTGAAAGTGAAAATGTCGAAACCTTTATGAACCCATGCGTTTTTTAAGCCTACTTTTGTGCCGTCTTTCGACGTGACATTATGTGCACCGAGCAAAACCTGAAACATACCCGTAATGCGTTATGATAATTTCCGTTTGGCACAATCAATTGCATGCGATCAATGTTATCGTAACATGTGCATTATTGCATTATTGCATTAAAAGTGAAAGATTCGAACGATTGCTAACAGTACGAATTAAAATTGGTTTGTCGAAGATCAGTTAATCAAACATTTAAATCGTAGTCAGTGGCGAATTTTAGCATGATTAAAAACAATATTTATAATATGATCAGGAAAATTAATTGTTTCAACCTAAATATTTTATGCTGTTAGATTGGATACATTCAAAGTGATAACATTTTTCTAAATTTTAGAAATAAACTTTTAATTAACCATTAATTAAGAAATGGCAGAATTTTGTGTATTGACGCGTATATTCATCATGCGTATAAAATAGTGGCCTTTACTATTTAAATTGAAATTTTTGAGAAAAACAAAAAATGTTCTGAAATGTCGAGTTGATTCGAATATTTTCAGACTATGACTGTTTCAAATAAGTAAAAGAGTGGCATTTCCCCTTAACGCATGTACTTTGTGCTTACGTAGTTATAGAATTTATTAAAACTCTCCTTCGATAATTCAGGTTGTTGGGTTATAATTTAACCCTTGTAGCTGTGGACTGTATTAAACACTGATTTGTTTGTATATTGTGTATTTGTTGCAGTTCTAATTACAATCACTGATTTGTTACTAAGTTATAAGGAAAGAAGATATATTTATTTTTATTAGCATCCATTCCGTGTGAAGCTTAATGCTTTGAAGTTTGTCACCTTCATGGCCAATATAATAAAACGAAAAGACGTCCGGACACGCGAGTTGTATAAAGTTCCCAAAATGTAGTAATAATAAACACAATCAGTAAGAATAAATATTTGACTATTCAAATAACATTTCCTAGTGTTTGTTTTCAATAGTTTTTCTTTTTAAATAAAAATAGTTTACAATATTTCATTGAATTTAACCCGTTTTTAGTTTAGTATGTAATACATGTGTTCGGACGTATTTTCGTTTTATTATATTGGCCATGAAGGTGACAACCATCAGGGCATTAAGCTTTACACGAAATGGTTGCTACCTCTGGTAAAGGGGGTAGCGGAGTGTTTTAATTGAACTAGTTGTTCACTTCTAAAAGAAAAGTCCGCTTAGCAACATGTATAGTAAATAATAAATAAATATATCTTCTTTCATTATAATTTAGTGACAAATCAGTGATTGTAATTAGAACTGTAACAAATACATAATATACAAACAAATCAGTATTTAATACAGTCCACAGCTACAAGGGTTAAATTATAACCCAACAACCTGAGTTATCGAAGGAAAGTTTTAATAAATTTCATAATTACGTGGCGGTATACAACATGCTTATGTTAACAAAGAAGTAAAATGTGGTAAAAAGATTTTTCAATTTTGCAAAATAAATCTATTTTTCATCCGTTATCTCAGCCGTGCAACTTATTCCGCGGTTGACGAATATACCTGTCATGATTTTGATTCAATCACAAAACTGTGCACACTTCGCACGTGGATTCAGTGAAAATTGCCAACCGGATACTGTTTGTTTTGTTGGTCATTTGCAACATTTTGTGTTGATAACTCTCTAATAGCATTATAAATACAAATAGCAGAAATAAATAGCTAAAATATATAATAATTCATAGATGATCATTATATTCAGGGGGTTGTTCTTTTTTTATTTATTTTCTTTCGATTTTGAGATTTTTGATATTATGAAAGCTAAAAACCTTAGAATTATTTAAAAAAAAATCATCTCAATATCTATTTTTTTGACGAAATTATAGATATATATCTCTATATGTATGATCCTCTGAAACCGTTTTTTTTATCGCTCCGCGAGCTGTTGTATGCCAGCTGCTCTCTTTTTCATTATAATACGTCATGTACATGACCTTTTCAATGTATCAGCACTTTTGAACACCATGGTGTATTAGTACATTAAATTAAATAGTACATTAATTAAAATTACATTAGTACATTATATTAAAAACTTTAAATACGTTTTTCTCAAATTGACTTTTTTCAATGCGGTGCCACAAATTAAAAAAAAACTACAAGTCGGATCGACTTGCATTTTTTTTAATTTGTTCACACTGCAATACCTAGTCCCCCTACCTCAAACAACTTGATAACATTACGCAAAAAAATTTGCGAAGCTTCTCGTCCCAAAAAAGGCCCTTTTTAACACTTTTTTTAAAATAGCTGCCATTTTTTTCCTTCTTGCTTTTTTTCTTTTATTTTGGTAGGGGGACAGGATTAAAACTTTTTCTTCAAAGTAGTTTCGTTTTTTTTGTTTCAGGCGCAACGGATTTATCTGTGGCACCGCAAAAGAGATCGATTTTGCAATGCCCACTTTAGCGCCTCCTGGTTAACAAATGACGGCGACAAAAAAAAAATTCTTAATATTCTATGATTTTGTAAAATTTGTTTAAAAAAAATCGCATGTCTCTATGATCAATACATTTCGTGAAAAACAAAAACAAATACCTTGCATTTTTTGTAACAAAAAAAAGAACAACCCTCTTAGATTTTTTTTTTTTAAATCGTATCCTAAAATTTATCGATCAAGGAAAGAATTTATTGAATAGCTAAGCAAAAATAATTTTAGTTGAAAGATTTTACCTTGATTTCTCGCAGATCGAATCCGTCCACGCAATGAGCTGCAGTCAAGAGATGCCTCGTCGTGAGTAGACTGGCGCCGCAGTACAATTTACCGGATCTGACCAGACCGCCGAGCCAGGGAAATTCGTGGGCGCCTGCTTCGTTCCCGCCAACTATGCGCGTGCTTCGGGATCCGCGCACCCCGCAAACTGCAACAAAGGCATGACCCTCATGTTAGATGATGATCAACCAGAAGAAATTACATTGCTTTGCGATTGTTATTTAAATTATCGCTCACTTGGATTATTTGTTTGATGAAAAGGGTTTTGGTTATTATAGAGACTTTTTTCGTACAATAATTTTGATTATCAAAGTATTATATTAGTAGAGTAATACAATTTTAATTTAAATTCGGTATCATCACTTAAGTTAAGGGTTTACCAATTTTGATAATATGTATGTATGGTTAAAAGCTCTAAACTTCGAAAATTCCTAAAATTTATATTACAGAAGACACTGAGATTGCACTACAATTTTATATTAAAATTTGAAGAATTAACACTGCCCTTTAAATTTTACAAACTTCAATATACATAAACCGTTAAATGTATACATAGATTCCTAGATACTGCAATATTTCAAATCACTAAACACAAAATGATTGAAATTTAAATGCGTTTATGTTGTATCCTATGGCGATGTGTTATTGATAAATTGTTCTCCTATGATCCTCTTACCGCAATTGTCGCACAATCCACCGTTAGCGAGAGGATTGGCGGCGCACATTGGTACCCAACAAACACTTATAATAACAATAATTGCACTTCCGAACACCACTGCGGCGAAGTCACTCGATTTCATTTTTGTTTCGCACTTTTTTCCCTAACTTTGAAAAAACTATGCGGTCCCTAACTCTATGAACTGAGATGTTCTAATAAGGTTCACGAGACCAAATAATTGGAGCGCAAGAACTAATGATTTGATCTACGGTCAACCTGCGTTTTATATACTGACAAAATAAGTATATTTTTAAATACGATGACAATGTTTATAACGCAGACATCTCCGAAGAGGTAGGGGTAACCTTGCAGTGCATAAATGATTTTTTATTGCGGCGTTACTTTTTTTGTTGTTTGAACAAATAAATAATATAAATTATTGATTTCGTGTCACAGACGATCCGACCTTGTGCTACATAGATAACTGTTTTAAAACAATTACTTAGTGTCACGATTACCTTACAAAATGCTATGCATGTTATTGTTGTCAAACAGTTAGCGCGCCCGGCCAAAATTGTTTGATCTTGGCGGTGTTCTTTCTTGAGACCTTGACCAATAGTTACGTCGCTCAAGGTCATGCCGATAATTTAATTCGTGTAGAGAATATTATCTAATTGTAAAAACAATTACGTGAAATCAGTTCGAAAACTATACAACGAATTACGAACCTATTTTTAGGTTACATCGTATCACGCACGTGGTGCACTAAGAAATTTCGTAACGCCTAAGATTTGTACTTTTCTCACTAAATAGGAACAACGGAAAATTTCAATGTATATAATCAAAGTTCTTTTTTACCGTTATCTTAAATGTGATAGCTAGTTTTGACTGTGCTTGAATTACCTATAAACTAATACTAGCCTATTTAGCAATATTTATGTAACACATGGTATTATGCATTCGAATAGGATTTTGCAATGAAGCAGACAGTGCAATATTTTTATTTATTGCCATATAGATATAAGTCAACTAATTGCCAGTATGTGGGGCAGTCGCGAAATATATCTTTGATAATTAGAACCTGAATTTTGAATGATTATCTTTATTTGTGTACATTAAGATTATAAAATACTATGCGTTGTAGTACCGGTTGCAATTTCATAGTAAATATTATTATACCAGCTAAATAGATCAATAACAAACAGTATGTGCAATATTTTGTTCGAATTTAGATTGATTGGGGGCTCGACTGGCTGTTCTTTCTTTGTTCATTGGTAAAAACATACATATTGCTTAACGTATTTATAAAAATGTGCAAACGATTTTAAGTATGAATGGCATATTGATAATAATTAACTCGTTTAATTATTACAACTTTGATTCAATGTATCATTGTCATCATTGACCATTTACTCCATGTTTGAACATTAAATAATTGAAGTTATTTTCTGTTAATTATAAAAAAAAATCTTTGATTTAAAATAGAAACAGTAAGCATATTTTTTGTTTGATATTGAGTATGTAATATCATAGTGGTAAATAAAAGATAGAGAAATAAAAAAGATTAATGAACGTGGGAAGTGTCTTTATTATTAGCGGACACCACGTGCAAGACAACTCTGACACACATTCGTAAAATTTATTCTGGCAAATTACTTTCCAACAAAGGTAACAGGAATCTATACACTGTTTCTTCTCTCCAGTCCCTAAACATAAATTTCTGCAAATACTAGATTTAAAAAAATTGAGAATTTTATCGAAGAGAGGAGGCGATACACAGTCTAAATACTGACAAATGATCGGCTTGAAAGGAATTTGATTAAAAAATGAATTAACCAACGCTGCAATAAATAATTAATAGGGGAAAGTCCCCAAGCGGCGGGCACCTAAGGTTATTTATAAATAAATAAAAAAATATTTTACGAAATGTTTATTAAATTATGATTTATGTTGGATAACAACGTTAGAATTCAAACCAAATTAACAAAACCGAAATCTTTGCTAAAAAATAATTAATACTATCAATCAAACTTTGGTATAAAAAAATATGATTTTAAACAGTGGCATCTAGTACCGGACATTTCAAAATAACCTGCATTGATCACATATGCAGCCATCTCCACGTTCTGAAATGTCTGCATATGTGTCTTTGACGATATTCTTAGATATTGCAAAAAAAAGTCACTTTGGCTAGGCCACACCGATTCTCTCAGCTGGTGCATTCATAAGTTTTTCATTCTTTGACTAGGAAATACGAAAAATGTGGGTATGTAGTGACCGTTAGCACTCATACAGAATAACATTAAATAATTGGAATAAATTACGTAAATTCTCACAAGAAATATCAATATGTTTACTGTCCGGTGCTAAGGGACAGACATTTTCATTCATTTGATGGCACCTACTAAAATTGGTTAAAAGATCTAATGATATTCTGCCATTTTACGGATAACAATCAAGTACAACTTTTATCTTTGCATACCACTGAAATGTAAATGCATAAATATGCTAGAATTACTTCATTGATATTTAGGTGACGCCGTGATATTGCTCCTAAAACAGAAAAGGGTTGCTCTCGCCATGGCCGTGTGCGTCACAGGTGAGGCTTGGTGCGTGATCCTGTACCTGTGTGCCCTCAGTACCCCTTTTACTTGTATTTTGGAATGAAAAGGTTTATAATCGCTTAAATAATACGTGTTAAATAGAGTGTCCGGTCTTTGGCGCCGTCCGGCGTTACGGGACTTCCCCCTTCTTTGATATTACTATCTACCATATATTACAACGTGTGTCTAATAGTATCGACTTGTCTGTGATGCAGCAATGCCCACGATAGGCTACTTTCACTTGAAATTATATTTGAGACCTGTAACCTAAAGTGGAAATTTGGTATCATACTGCTTGATATCGAGCGTGCCCGAGGTTGGAATAGAACCACGGATTAGTGGTACGCTACGGTTGACTTTATGAATATGAACTTTCTTTCAAACACATGAAAATCTTCGAAAAATACATTGTATAAACTATATAGCTTTAATATATGAATAGGCATTTTAATAAATAAGCATTTTATTTACATTAGTTTTTGGCTTCAATCTCTTTTTTTTTTAAATTTCAATCCTACGGTGAACAATAAAGATTCAGAATTGCATCAGAAAATAAACGATTGAACATGACGGATTTCCGTATTAATTTTTTTTAAATATTTATTTTTAAACACCGATCAGAACTTAAGTTTTCTATAACTTTTACCCAGATTATTCTAAACTAAGTGGATTTTTCAGAAAACAACTCAACGGTTGGCCTATCTCTATTAGGTGTATTTTATTATTAGAATTTCTCTAATTATAATGAGTTTTAATTTGATGCAGCTCTGCTGGGTAAGGGTTACTTTTATTTCAAAACATATTGCAATCTATATTCATTCAAGTGATGAATTCTAAAAAAAATACTACATTTTTCCAATTTAAGTAACGGCAAAAGATTTATATTAAATATGATATTTGTACTACCAAGAAATTTTTGTAAGATTTTAAAGAATATTAGTGAATGAATTAATTAAATTTGAGATAGATTTTCAATATATGTACTTCTATTCTTATAATCATCACTTCAATGTTTTCAAGATTAACATAATTTATTCTTGCGAACGCAAATGTAACCTTATTCTAATTTCTTTGTCGGCATTTATTTGTTTGTAGTTTAGCTGCATTTTAGCTTCAACCTCGCATTATTTATATCAGTTAATTGAATATAAATTCATAATTAGAGATGTATTGTGTATTTGTCTTGCTTCAATATGGGGCCATGGACATGCTCACTATATTTATTCTCTAGATATGTAAGCGTTATGCTGGTAGTAATTAGTGAAAACAGTTCAAGAGGCTTTTCGTGAATATGACTCGTTCTTTGTTTAATTCCAGTAAGGTCGCCAAAGGCCATTCAGTTATTAAAGTTTATTGTTCGTCTTATCGATATTCAGAAACAAATTGTTCGCGCTCGTTTGTATTGTCTTAAAAAATGTGTCCCCCAATTTTTAATGGAGTGTTTTAAATTAGAAGTCCGTATCAACGCACCAAAGAAGTTCCGATTTTGTATAAACCCATAAAAAGCAATAAACTAATTAACTACATACAGATTTAAAACACCCTTGTCAAATAAACTCATTTTAATTTATATTAAACAATTCAATTAAAACTATTGATAAATAATGTGAATTTATTTATTATTAAAACTAAAAGCAAGACAAACAAATGGATCAAATGTGAAATGAAATTTAATTTTTATATAATTTGTTAATATAATGAAGTCAATACTTTAATTAATTCAAAAAGTTCCGATTTTGTTTAAACCCATAAAAAGCAATAAACTAATTAACTACATACAGATTTAAAACGCATTTGTTAAATAAACTCATTGCAATTCATGTTAAACAATTCAATTAAAACTATTGATAAATAATGTGAATTTATTAAACTAATAATTTGTTAAAAAGGCAAGACAAACAAAGAAATTTAGTTAATTAATTTTTATATAATTTGTTATTTAGTCAATAATCCGATTAATTCAAATAATTATTCATTCAAATTAAATAATAATAATTTAAGCCATAATTGATAATTTAGATTTATATGAAAAAACTATCAGAAATATAATATAATCAATTTATATTTTATATATTATATAATTAACTATTGAAAACGTCTTAAAAATAAAATCAATATAAGTTTATATAAAAATATTTTCTTCGTTCTTCAGATTATATAAATTTCACATACATTAATATTCGATCTCATAATTTATCATATTCAATTAATTTAGTAATTTAAATAAATTATTCATCGCTCATCATCATAAGAATTCCTCGTTCAGCTGATGTTTAGCATATTTAAAATTATATGTTATTCATTTATGAGCAAAGTCAAATTTCATCGTCAGATCATTTGTTTGCCCGTATCGCAAATCGCATCGTAAGCCAATATATGGACCAATTACAGATATAAATGTAAGTAGTAGATTATCACTGAAAGTTATAACAATTAAAAAACAATTTTCAAAAGGTAAATTAGTAATGTTAAGTAATCAAATGACTGTTTCGAACACAAAGAAAAATGTTACAAACTTTAGAATACTTTTAGTGGCATTTAGAAAATGTAAGTTATTTAATAGTCCAGTCATTTATGCTTAAATTAAGTAAGAATCTCGGAATTAGAGATACCCAGCTATAAGTCTGTAAATACTTGTTATTGACACCCTAAACTTGTCTCAAAACCTGAATATGGTAGGGTCTCAATGCCATGAGACAATTTTAGGGTGTCAATATACAAGTATTTACAGACTTACAGCATGGTATCTCAAATTCCGAGGTAAACTTACTATAATGACTGGACTATAAGTACAATAGACTGCATCTTCTCAACAACACTGAACTTGCATCTTCTGCATCTTCTCAACAAAAAAATTGATAATTTAAATAGTTTAATATATTTACTACTTGAGATAATATTTTTTTAATTTAGTAGCATGGCAATGTTGTTGTTTGTTCATTTAATATTCTGATATTTAATGTAGTCTACAAAGTAGAGACAAATAAAACAGGTTAATATTGGCAATAAATTATAAAACATAAGTTCAAATCTCGAAGTATATTTTGAAGTGATTATTAATGAAGTTCAACTGATCACTTTGAAAAGTAAAGTTAGTAAGTACCTTTTCTGAAACTTTCCTAACAATTCCTGTGTCCTACAAGGATGTAATGTCAAAAATGGTATTTGTAATACTGGATGATCCATTTGTGTGAGAATTGAATGGAAACTACTGTCCGTTACACCATTTTGTAACAATATTTTCCATGCACTGTCCAGTGTGAGAATAGTACCATCTACAAATGATAGAATATTAAAAAATAGTGCATAAGAAAATAAAAAATACTGATAAATCGAATTTGACAGCATCTCTATAAAGTTAGCTTAATTTATTACTTTCTTAACAAAAATCTTTTACACAATAAGCTAATTATCACATTATGCATGTATATATTTTTTAATATAGAATTTTGTGTTATAAATGGATCGAATATTAAATATTAAATATGAACAATACAACACTCAGATTTTTGTATATCAAAAATTAAATGTAATTTAAATAAAATATTAAAGAATGTGTAGTATATAAGTAACTGTTTTTGAAATTACACTGAAGATGAGGCATACCATGGTCTCGAAACGTCTGTAATTATTAAATAAAGTGTGTGTTAAAAATCTGAATGTTGTATTGTTCATATTTAACATTTAATATTTTTTAATGAATCTTAGTACAATTACCAGGTTTTGAAGCATTAAAGGATAAAACAGGAACCATATAGCTGATGTTATACGTGACATGATATTCAAAATTATATACAATAACACTATTAAATGTTGCTTCAGACTTATCGTTAAAATCATTTGAATCACATTCTTCCAAATGTGAGTTTTCATTTTCACAAACATGTTTTTCTTGTTTCATCAAGTATTGTGAATAATTTTCATCCTTGTAAGAAACAAGTATTGTTACAATGTCCTATCAAAAAATATTGTCATATTTTAATTACTTTCCTACTAACTGCCAATTATCACCTAGCTCATTAGACTTTACTAATATATCTTTAGCAAAAAGTAAAAATTCCTCCCAAGTCATAATATCCTAGCAAAATAATATCAGATAAAATTTAATAAAATATCAAATTCAAATTATAATAAATTACTATCAAATGTTGTAAACTGACATATGTGTTTACTAAAACCACACTACTTTTTAAGGTTATGTTAAAACAAAATATTGATCACAACATAATATTCGATTCAAATTTCTTATATTTTTTTGTTTTCTTAAACCAATTAAATGAAAACTTAAAATAAAAAATATATTCAAAATAATATTGCACAGTTATTTGTAAATATCACTAGATTAATCAACTACCACTAAATATTAACAAATTTTATTTCACTTTTAACAGGAATTATCTGCCATAGTTTTGGAGCTGTCAAACTAAGGTCAGGGTCGCACTTTAAACAAATTTAAAAATATTATAAATAAATATAAAATTACTTAAAAAAATCCTAAAAACACCTTACTAAAATAATTGCACTTGCTCGGATATTATTACTAATATATTTCTATTTCAAGAATTTAATCATAGTGTGATTAAATAATAACAGTAAAATATTTATTTTGGTATTGTTCAATTAAAAAATTAAATTAAAATTAATCAGCATAATTTCCAACTAATATTCTTCGATATTTTTGAATGTTTAACTTCCCGAAGGGTAAGTTATTGTAATCGTCCAAAAATTCGCTGAGGGGTTGTTTTTACAATAACATAACGAAAAAGTCACAAACAAACGTTTTGACAGTACGGCCCTGAACGAGACTAACACATGGTTCCTTAATATTAAATTTCTTGAAAAATGACAAGATCCCATCGCTTTTCAAATTTCCCATAAAATTTGAACACATGCTAAAAACTGCTTTAAGAAAAAATGTGACATTTCTGTCTCAAACTCCGAACAGTAAATACATAGTTTCGACAACTTGTTAAGTTATCATGTTTATTACTGTGTTTTACCATTTGTGATGTTAAAAAATATATATTTTATCAATACCATGGATTAATAATGGTTTCATATGTTATATTAAGATACAAAATTGTAAGTGTTTTATTATTGTTATTATTATACCACTGAATGAAGGCTAAGATGCTAGCCGAAACGACTGGTTTTAAATAAACTTTTAAAAAACTCTCATACTATTTTTACTGATGTAACGCCCGACTTTTTAACTCAAATTAAACATATATATTAACATCAAATTCAAGACTATTCAAATAATATATATATATATATATATATATATATATATATATATATATATATATATATAGGTGTGCTGTTGTACCTCCAAAACTGAAGCTGAAATCCTCGCAAAGGAACAAGCTGGGTGTCGAGATCTACAACAGGCTCCCCAATGAGTGGAAGAGTCAAAGCAGGAATGGTTTCAATGCTGCCGTTAAAAAACATCTTATAGATCAACTTATCTATTCAATTAATGAATTTTTTAACCCAAGATAAATATTAATTGTCATTAGGTTAATCTTAGAGTTGTTCATAAACATAACTGATATTAGTTTAGTTATATTATAGTATAATTGTATTGACTTAAATTGTAAATGTTGAATTTGAATAAAGTATCTATCTATTTATCTATATATATATATATTTTATAAATAACCAATCAGGCGTGCAGGCGTGATAGCCTGATAACGCTGTGTATGAATGAATGCATTCAAATGAATACATGGATCTGTCAATCTGAGAATTTATATCCTGTTCAATTCATACTGTCCAAAAGCTATGCACTTGAGAGCGATTCTTGAAGAAATCTTTACAAACAAATATGAAACATCACAACACAAAAATATTTTATTTTTGGCTTACTAGCGCTAAATGTGCGCCTGGTTCCCGACCCCTAACCTGCACAGTGTGAACACGGGGCTTTGTTTTCAGACAACAAGCCCAGGAAGATCATGTTATTCATCGTGATTTACACCACAAGACAAAATTATATTTTATTTCGATATGAATAAAACAGAGCATATAAAAGAAAGTCAATTTATTAAATTTTGACATAACAGTTAAGTTATTAAGTAAAAGCTCACAAAATTGCAATAAATTAACATAAATCGAATTAAATCATGTAATGATAATATCTGTTATAGTTTTATATAAAATATAACTTTACAATAAATTATAACTTTCATTATATATAATAAGTGTTGCTTATATAAATATTATATATTATGAATAATGCGGGTGTGTATATTAACATAAGTAGGCACTAAATATTTTATATTATTAACAAATCTGTACAAGTCACCATTAGAAGGCACATTATATAAGCTTGACTAAATTTATTATTAGAAAACTATAAAATAGCTTGTAAAATAGTATGTATATATATAATTTGTGACTGTACATGCTTATTTATGAAACAATATATATTTTGTAATTATATTCTTTACTCGAGTTTATAAGTATGACTGTGCGTTCGACTCTCTGCAGAAGTTTTTATAGTTTTCTTCTCAGTGATCTGTCTGGACAATGAGTTCATTTGAGTTTGTACTAAATTTTGAGAATTTGCTCCGGAGTGCATAATAACGGACTTGAATCAGTGTTATATCTGTGTGTTTCATACCTGAAATTTATTAAATAAATTTAAAAGTTTGGTCAGAGCAAGAAATAAGAGTTGATATTTTATCATAATAATAATAATTGATATTAATGAAATTGAGAAAAATTATATAAATATTAATATAATACACTAGTAAGAGAAATAATATCCAAATGCTTTATAAAAAAATCATTTGGCAAAAAATCACAAATTATGAATCTTTATATTAACAAATAAGTATTTTAAATTATTTAAGTGTTTTCATTATATGTTAGTTTGTTTTTTACTCACAAAGTTGTAAATCCCTTATAATTTTGACCGTTGCTCCCTGTATTATGTGCTGAGCCATTTTTAACTGCATCATAGCTACTGTCCGATGTAGATAAATTTTTATTAATAAAGCTGACAGGACTTACATTATTGTATGTATTGAAAGTTCTACTATTTGTGTGGGTTTGAGATTTATCCAAATACGAGGAGTTCAATCCTTTATTACTTTGGTTATTATTATTTAAATGCACAATATGGCTACTTTGATTCATGGTATCATTTTGGTCACTGTAATATTCTTGATCGCCTTCATCTGTTTTGCGGAGACGATACTTGGCTTGGTGAATGGCTGCTAACCTATTTCTAGCCTCTTCCAATTGCTTTTCAATTCGGAATACTTCAGATCTAGAATAAAATTTTACAAATAACTATATTGTTGTTAAGTAAAGTTATTCAATCTACAAATAAAAATGTTTAAGAGTAGAGTAACCCTAAAATTTCAGGATTATTAATCAATTTGACTTGACCTATTTAACTGACTTTCAATAATAGCCCTTCATACTAACTATATTTAAAGGTATAAATGGAACAATTTCAAGACTAAATTATATCACCCTTTTTTTTTTTGTTTTTTTAATCACCTGGCATTTATTTCCTGTGTGATGCCACCAACCATTCTTGTGTTAAGAACAAGTGAATGTTCATCTTCTCCAGAAATTGCTTGTTGAGCTGATTTCACAAGATTATCCGTGCTTCTAATGACTGCATTTCCAGCTGCTTGTAGTCTTGTAAAACTGGGTGAATCAGGATCGGCTTTGACCTAAAATAAAATTTATTTTTATTAATATTATCTATCAAATAATTATAATATATTGACATTTCATAAAATGTTAAGATTGTAAATTTAAACTATCTGTTACTAACTAAAAGCTGTACCTGACTAGCAACTAAAAGTTGGGCAGTGGAACTAGCAACTTGTTTTGCAGATGAAATAAGCATTTCTTCGGAACCATGTCCTTGCACAAGAGCTTGTGCTGAATCTACTAATTTTTGTGTTGCTGCCACCACAAGTCTCGCAGCAGAAACCAAACCTTCTGACCATTGGCCATCGTCTGAAGTTTTATGTAGACGCCTGGCAACTTTGCCCTAAGGTATAAAAAAAAACTTGTAAAATACTATTATAATTAATACAGTAGAATTATTAATAATATAGTTACTTTATTGACAAATGTGCAAATCAAAAAGACAATTTATGTGAAAAATTGAAAAAAAATGTTCCGTTAGTGTTTCTATTTAGAAGTGAAGTTAAAAGTTTTCATGTCTTTAAAAAAAAGTAGATATTTCATAAATTAATGCAACAAGAAAAAAGTACATTATAATTATAAAAGAAATTTGATAAAATAAATGAAATTCTACTTTAGAAATGCTTGGCAGGCCGCATAAAGCGGTTGCTCATCTGTTAAAAAAGTTTATTGTATAACAATATTAAATCAACTAATCAAATTTAAGATTTATATATTACCTGATCAATAAGTTCTCGTTGTGAATCACTTGCGGCTTTAACCAAAGCTGAAGTAGCTGCAGTAATGGATTTTGCTGCTTCCAAAATCATTTCATCAAAGTTCAAATTTTCATCGGTTTCCTAAAAATTATATCACAAAATAAATATCAATGAAGGAAATACCAATTGTACATTAATATGAGTAATTGATTAAAACTATATCAATTCCATATGATATAACGTACCATGGTGTGGGGTACCTCAGCAGTAATAATATGTTTGATTCCTGGGTGAAATTACAAAAATACAACCAAGAATATCAAACATATCTTAACGCCAAAGACATGAGATAACATGTATGACAAGTAAAATCTATATATTAAATAATATCTAAAAACATATCCATATTAATTACCTTTACAGATCTTCTTGGTCGCAAACTGGCAAGTTTTCGTGCAGCAGCTTCTATAGATGATGCAGCTGTTAGAAGCTCATTTTCTGCAATAACTGTTGGATCCTCAGGATCTACCCAATCACGTCCTGAAAAAAGATTATATTTAAAATCAAGGGATGTAATAGATATGTATGTAGATATAGATAAACAGGTAAATACAATATTAATAAATAAAAAATCAATAAAAGTACCTTTAAGGGTTTCGGCCAGAGAAACCAGTTCAGAAACACTTTGAGCTACTTGTCTTGATAAATGTGGCAAATTTTCTTTTCCTTCAGCTCCTGCCAAAACTGCTTGAAGCAGTCTTTGATAATGGGTTGCAACCTTATTACCAGCTTCCAAAGTTTGTTCGCGCAATTCGATTGTTTCCGTGCAGGAGTATGCAGTATTCTAAATTTAAAAAAAAAAATACATATAAATATATCACACGTTGTATATATATATATATATTACTTGAAATAATTGGTTAGGAGCTTTTTAATTTTATAATTATATTTAATTATTTTTTTATCTAACTAACTTTTGTTTTTAATTAAATTTTAAATTTAATTATATTCTGTAGCAATTAAATTAAGTAACAATTATATATGGTCAATATACCTTGCACACAACAAGTAAATCAGAAATTGCTCTACGCCCTTGATTAGCAGCAATTATAATATCTTCTTGAGATCCAGAGTTTCCAGCAGCAATTGCTTTAGATGTAGCTTGGGTAACTAATTTAGTAGCTCTAACTAGTTCCTCTGGTGTACCTTTGCCCTTTGCACCATCTATTTGTAAACTCTGCAAGATAAAATTAAAAAAATTAAATATGGCTAATATGGCAAATATGTGTCTAATGTAATACATTTTATATCTTATTACAAGGATACTTACATTAATTTCTTGACTGATAGCTTCAATTGTAGATTCTAAAGCACGTGTGCCTCTTGTGTGTTTATCCTCAACAGCTTTAACGGTTTTTAACAATGATGTTACATTTGTTACCATTACCTATAAAATAATAATCTTTATTAATACACAATTCAAAACATTTTAATATAAAATATACATTTTCTATATAGAGTTTACAACAGTTACAAAAATAAATTACCCTAGCACTGCCTTTCAATTGTCCCATTGAAGGGTCATCAATAGGTTTTCCAGATGCTGCTTTGGTGGCCTGAATAAGTTCACCGAGAGCAGAAGCAACATCTTTAACAGCATTCATCAGCATCACTTGTGAATCAGGATTATTTGAACCCAAACTTTCTGCTCCTAATTTCACAACTCCAGTCAATTGGACTAAAAATAAAATAAATATCATTATAAACAAATTTCACTCTCAGTGCTTAAAAGAAAGAAAGAAAATTAAAATAAATAATAAAATTAAGATAATGTTGTATTACATGTGAGAATTAAATAGCATTAAAATTTTCAAATTCTTGTTTAAGATGAAGAACTTCCTAAAAAAGATCTTATGTCTTCGAAAAGATTTAATGAAAGAATATTTCTGATGATTCATATATGTAAATGTATGTGTATGGGTTTCTTGACCCTTACCAATTGTTGAAACAGCATTTTGGGCTGCTGCTGCCAATTGATCTTGAGAACCTGCAGCACCGGCAACAAGTGTTTTTGTGTCTTCTACTAAAGCTTTGGCTGTTTTCAGAATATGCTCCCTGTGCTCAGAGAAAGATGCATTATCCCTCTCAGAGTGCAAAGTGCCTGATGAATAAAATATTTATTTATTATAATCTGTACATTATAAATATTTAACTAACTTCAATACTTTAATATAAAATAAAATAAATATTTACCTGCTGTTGCAAACATAATTGTAGTGTCAATATCTCCAATGATACCAGAAACAGTACTAGCAGCATTTATGCAAGCCTGAGTTCCCTTTGAACATGATTGTAGTGCTGCCAAAACTTTAGCTACTTTATCGTTAACAGATCTGCTGTGCATTGAAATTGTAGAAGAAGCACTATCACCTTGTTGCATTTGGTATGCCCCACTAGATTCAACTAATTGAGAACATGATCGTCCAAGTTCTTGAACTGTGCTTCTGATTCTAAAATTTGAAAAAAAATAAAAAATCAAGCAAATTTTATCAAATACACAATTTTATTTCAATACACATAACTTCTAACTATTTTTTTTGTTGAGAATTATTTGCAAATTTCGTATTTTTTGTTTCAAAATATTTTTTGAAAATTTAAACAATTCTTCATTCCATCAAAACAAGTGAAATGTTTTTTGATTCATTCGAATCGGATCCTCTGTTCTCTCAAAAATGGAATAGCTATTTTTTGCACTTTTTGTCCCGGATAAAAAAAATCAGAACATCTCCAAGTCAATAGGAATTGAATGTTTTTTAAATCACGTGAAATGTAAAGGTATGCAAAAATGTTCATTTTCGTTTTTTGCCATTGCTATAACTTACTCTATGGCAAGTTAATAAAAATTTCAAAAAACTTGAATAAACCATTTTTTAAATAACAGTAATGCAGTCAAAATATCAATATTCTAATAAAGATGTTCGGTTTATAAGAATAGTATTTACTTACTTCATTCCAACATCTGAAAGATTTGTGTTTAATACTGCTCCAAATGAATCATCTGCCAACTGCGTGTAGTGGTGAGTAAGATTTGCAGATAAAGTAGGCAAAGCAGCAGGCTCAGCAACAGCTTTTGAACTCTACAAATGTACATAAACAATCATACATTTTGAATTAAAAATACAAATAATTATTCATGACAATAATAAATTACCATCTCATTAGCAATTCTGGCAATTTCTTTAGCTTCATGTACCATTCTTGTTTGATAATCAACAAAAGTGTCTGATGAAGAAGTAACAAGCAAAGATGATCTTCTATCACTTACTCGAGACATGGCTCGGTTAATACTTTCTAGCAAGCCATTTACCAAACCTGCAATATATTAAAATTCAGAGTTGTCAAATATATTTAGTTGAAGAAATATAATAGTAACAGTATACAAAATGCAAAATGTTTACCATTTTGTGTTGATAAATCATCAAGAGAAGTTATTAATTCAGTAATTGACTCTCTCATTGAATCAATAGCTTCATCCAGTTCTCCGTGATATTGTGTAGCCTGTAAAACAATACATTTTCAATTATAAAATAAATAACATAATTAAATTTAAAGGTGTTCAAAATTATTACTCGTATGAATTTCATAATTATAATTTTAAGATTATTCTATTAAGATAAATTATTATATTTTTATAAACAATAGTTCAATTATTTTACAATGTTTGCTACAAAACATTATTACTAATTTTATAATTTATATAATAATTACCCTGGGATTTCCTCCAGTCAGTTTAGCAAGATTAGCTACTTGAATAGCATTTTCGGTAACACTTTTAGTATATTCCAAAAGCTGTAATCTTTGAGACGAATGCACAAAATGAGTTGCAGCACCCACAGCATACTTGACAAGAGCTTCGACATAACGAGACATTTGTAATATTGTATGACCCAAATTTTCAGCTTCACTTTTAGCGGCTGTTTGTAGTGGAGGTAATCTGTCTGTTAGCTCATTGGATGTACTGCTCATCTGGCTCAGGAAACCTAAATATAAAATAACAATGTAAATTTGTTGAAAGAGCTTAAATGGAGAATATTTATATATGTTTTATATTATACCATACCTTGTAAGGTGTTTTCTTGGCTCGGAGTTACTGTTGATACAACATTAATACTGGTTTGATCTAAATGACGCACACAGTCATTCAATTGCTGGATGACTGTGTCGCACTGTGTTTGACCAGGTGCCTTCTCTCTGGAAGTATAAATTGATAATTGTATAATATATTGATAATATTTAATCCTCAAAGTTAGAATGGTAATATCTTGATTATTTTTTTGATGTTGAAACATGTTTGAAATAATTTGCAGCCTATTTGTCAATTTGTCAATTTAAAATAAGATTAAAAGACAAACATTCTTTATTTAATTAACTAATATTAATCAGGAAACTTTCTGACAAAAATACCTTTCATAAAACAAGAAAAATTGCTTAAACAAATAATTTCTTTATATTTATTAAGGGAAGAAACATTTGAATTGACAAAATAGTTGTTGAAAGGTGAAAAAAAAATTAATTAATATTAATTAATATTATTTTGTAAGCACTTCATTATTAATGATGTTGTTAACTAAATGTGAAGGGTTACTATTGTTATTAAGAACAGAACAAATAAAGTTAAGATTTTACTCCAAAACATCTTATTTTTAATAAAATAGGCCTACCTATTAGAGAAATAATACCCCAAATTTTAATGGACCAAGAGTAAAAAAAAATAATTAAATATCACCCTGACTAAATTGTTGTTCCTATTAACCTTTTTTTAATTGGACAAATAAGCACAAAATTATTTAAAAAAATGATAATAATAGTAATTACAGAAGCATTAACTAACCTTATATTAGTGATAAGACTCTTGATTGAATCACTAACATCTTTGCTGTTACTTGCTAATTGTTGCCATGCAGGTGGGTCTCTTGGATTAAGGGACAAAGATTTTGCAGCTACTATCATATTCACAGAAGCATTCAAAGTACTATGACCACTAGTTAGAATGGGCTCTTGAGCTTTGCGACCCTGAAAGCAAATTGAAATTAATAGATTGAATTTATTTCTAAATTGCATTCTAATTTTTCTTTTTTATATTCACCTGGGCTGATATTCTTGTTGGTATAGATACGAATTGTGGATTATTTGAGAATTCACAAAGCGATGAAACAGCATCTAATAAAGGTTTCGTTGCCTGAACACAAGATTCTCTACTTTCAGCAGAATAATCTGCATCTAGTGCTTTAATTCCCTGTTAAAATATCCATGATCAGCAAATTAAGATTACATTGTATATGTGTTTTCTTGCATGTATATAATCAACTAAATAAAATTAAATAAGTTAGTAGTAGTAATTGACAAGGAAAAAGATAACTACATAGGTACGAATCAACAAAGTATAAGCATGCTCATATAGAAAGAAAAACTGTAATTTTAGTTTATATAAATTTCATTCAATTCATAATTCGAGCATAGCAAAAACTGACTTTTTGCCAGTTAGATAAATAAATTAAACAGTTTAGGTGTGTTACGATACATACAAGAAAACTATTTGGTACCAACTTTTGTCAAACACAAACCTTTACCAATGCGGCAGTGCTATTCGCGACGTCTTTAGCAGATTGTACAAATTGCCTCTTAGCCACGTGGTTAGGAGTGTTGTTACTGGCAATTCTGCATGCATTGCACAAAGCTGATGTATGTTTTGCAATGAGAGTAGCAGCTTGTAACACTTGTGGTTGGGTTGAAGTAGGGTTAACCAAAACATCGCAGCCAGTTCGAATCGCCTGCGCTGCACGCGCAAATTGGGCTTGGTCAACCAATCCTGGACGACCGACAACGCTGGTTGGATCAGATACGCCTACCTAAAATAATAAATTAAATTGAAAATAAGCATCACAAAGTTTCAACATATACCATTTTACATAAACATATTTATTATTATTACAATTATTGAAATTGTTAACACTAACATAATATATTCAATTCAAGATTCTATGACCACTAGAAAACACTTACGAGATAAGCAGCTTGTGCAGAAGCTTCAATCAAGCCATAAATTGAATCATTAACTTCACGTACTGATTGCGCA